AGCGAGAAGGAAAACATGATTAAATAGTCCCTCATTCAGGGCAGAGGAATGTTCAGTTAGTGCCATCATTTATTTATATTATTACACAGTGCTTGGAGATCACAAACTAATTCTGAAAGTATTAGATAGGTATTAAAGTTTATCTAGTGAAGATTAGAATATTATCTTTTTATTGGCCCCCCTTCTCTTATCAGAGTTTATAGATGTGTATGCTTGGGAATTATATTTTTTTTCTTTTCTTAAAAATAGTTATAGAAAACTCCTTCTTATAGATTTCCTTAGAAGATGTCCTTGTTTATTTTTCCTTGAAGAAGGCAGCCTGGAGTTTCTTTTGTGACCCAAAGACAAGCACGAACCTGGAAATGCAACAGGAAGTACAAAATTGTGGTGCCCTCAAACTAGAAATCTGAGTTTACTTCTGATAGTGAAGTACAAGTGGGACATAATCAGGGTCCAAAATATATAGAAGGAACTCTGAAATAGTTGAAAGATTCAAGAATTTCTATATGAAGGTGACCTGAATTATTGGGACTCTCTTGAATATGGGATGGAAAAGCCCAAGGGGGATATAATCCAAATGTATAAAGTTGTGAAAGATACTATATTGTGATCACAGACCTTTTTGTAAGTTTAAAAACATGTACTCTTTGACCCATTCATAATTCTTTAAGGAATTGATCCCAGTGATGTACTTGCACACATCATAAATGACACATGTACAGTACGGCATCATTTGTGAAAGGGCAAGACTGTACACAGCCTAAATAGGGTAGACTGGTTAAATAAGTTAAGGTGTAGCTACACAATAGAATACTATGTGGCTATTAAAAAGAAGAAGGCATCCTTCCATCTCCAGTCAGGACAGGGTAATTGGTAACCAAAATTGCCCACCTGCCTGAAAACAACTGTAAAATGAGACAAAATATACAAGGCAACTGTATTCAGGCATTAAACAACAGAGAGTGCAAAGCTGTGATGACCCCTGCAAGGAGGGAAACACACAAGGTGAGCCCACGATCAGGTAGAGCCAAAGCAGTGACATCCTAGCTGAGTGGAGGCAGCAGAGATCAGAGTTCTAGAAGTGATTCTGGAAGGGAGTACTCCAAGAATGAGGGACACATATTAGAGAAGGTCACAGAGGCCAGTTTAAGGGGCTCTCACTAGCCGAATTTGGAATAGCATGAGAGTCAAAATAAATAATGATAGCTATGGATTATAATCTGAGTCCGTATTGATAAAATAAGCTAATGAATAAATAGAGAAATAGAGGAAAAGGGGAAGTTCTTCCTTGCAATAATAAATTAACAAATTATATATTAGTTCATTGTTAAATTAATATAATTTTTTTTAAAGATTTTATTTATTTATTCATGAGAGACAGAGGAGGAGAGAGAGAGAGAGAGAGAGAGAAGCAGAGGGAGAAGCAGGCTCCCAAGGAGCAGGGAGCCTGATGCGGGACTCGATCCCAGCACCCTGGGATCATGACCTGAGCCGAAGGCAGACGCTTAACCATCTGAGCCACCCAGGCGCCCAAATTAATATAATTTCTAATTAGTAAATTATGGAAAGAAGGATGGGTTAGAAAAGCATTCAGGATGCTAAAATTAGTTGTGATAGCTTATTGAGGAATAGGGTATTTATATAGTCCTAAAGTATCTCCCCACAAACAACTTACTGATTACAGAAGGGAACAATACTAAGTTTACCAGGCAAACTTAAACCAAGTGTCTGGGGCAGACAGACATCACATACACCCTAATATGAAAATGGTATAAAAAAACTTGTGGATCTCCTATCAAAAATAAGTATCCTGAATCTAATCCTGAGGAGCATCAGGAAAAAAATTGATGAACATCCCACAAAAATAACAGATCTGTAGTCTTTAAGAATATCAAGGTCAATAAAGAGAAAAAGTGACTTAGGAAATCTTCCCAGTTTATAGGAAACCAAAGACATTTGGCACTTAATACAGTACATATCCTTGGGTTACACCATGGGCTGGGGAAAATAGCTTTAATTGTCAAGGCCTATATATATATAGAGGGCGGATAAGTATTAAGAATATATTAAATAGCATTTAATTTCCTGACTTTGTTAACTATACTATGATTTATGTCAATGGAATATCCTTGTTCTTAGGAAATGTGTACTGAAGTATTTGATAGTAAAGAGACATTATATTTCTAACTTTCTTTCAAATAGTTAAGATATGCATATGTAAGAGTGTTTGGAGAGAGAATATAAAGCAAATAGAATGTCAACAAAGACAAAAATCTAAGGTAGAAGATATAAGGGAGTTTCTTGTACCAACTTTGTAACTGTTCTGTAAGCTTGAAATTATCAAAATAAAGTTTTATCAAAACTAGGGAGGAAAAGAATAAGACAGTTCTATGTGCTGAGAAAACATGACCTCCAATATATTATCCTAAGTGGGCTAGTGGAGAAGAAGATGCAGGAGCAAAATGCAGAATGTCAGGAGTAACATTTTACCATTTGTATAAAAAAGACATGTGGGGGCGCCTGGGTGGCTCAGATGGTTAAGCGTCTGCCTTCGGCTCAGGTCATGATCCCAGGGTCCTGGGATCGAGTCCCGCATCGGGCTCCCTGCTCCTTGGGAGCCTGCTTCTCCCTCTGCCTCTCTCTCTCTCTCTCTCTCTCTCTCTCTCTCTCTCTCTCTCTCGCGTCTTTCATGAATAAATAAAAAAAAAAGACATGTGAATAGACATGTATTTATTTAAGCATATAGGAAGGTATTCAAGCAGTGGCTAACATTGGTTGCCTCTAGGCAGGGGAACTGGGTGGCCAAGGTCTGGAAGGAGATTTTGGTAAATACCAGTATCATGTACATATATTACCAATAGAAAAGATAATTCAACAACAAACTTGAAAATTGGAGGCAATACCATTTCTTTCTAGGATATGGTATTCTTGACAGAGCAAACCTCTAAATAACTTCAGTTTTGGGTAAATCAAGGAGTGAGAGATCTTGGGTTGACTAAAGTTATTGCTACTTAAGGTGACATAGTAACTTTTGGGCATTATGGAAAGCAAACATGTTCTCCATTAGTATGTTCCTTGTTACCTCCAGAGACTCAGCACTGACTTAGGTGAGCACGGACTTTGTTTTTTCTTTTGTCCTAATGAGGATTTCTTGAAACAGTGAATTATTGTTATAGAATATAAATAGTTTTTTAAATGAGTGGATTTACTAGTTAACCTTTTCTCTAAACTTCCTGCCTTTGACATTTTATCTCAAAATAGACCATTCAGATGACGAATGCTACAAGCTTTGACATTTTAAATTATGTGGTAATGTTTATATAAGGTGTGGCTCAGTAGAAATGTATGAAAGCAAATTCCACGTTGACACTATACAACATTGATATTGATAGTCAAATACCTTTTATTACCATGGTATGAGAGTTTGGTGGGATCAGATTAAGGAAGTAAGGACGAAGAATTTGGGAGAAATATGGAGTGTACCGTTAAGCCACACAGTGTTACCTGGGACATCTCTGCTTCTGGTATTTCATAATTAATAGGCCTCTGAAGTGCCATCTTGCCCGGAGGTCAGGTTGTCGTTGTCCTATGAACCACTTGTTCATTCTGCTCTCTCATTTCTCTTCACTGGACCTCACATGAGAACAACAAGCATTGCTTTATGTGGGCATGTAGCCATCGACTCTAATTTTATAATTTTTGAGCATCCACTCTGGTTGAGATGCTCTTTTCCTTTTCTGACAAAATATGTGAAGGCTCAAGGCCTGCCCTGTGTCTCCTTCCCAGTTAAGCTTCTTAGACTTATCCCTCTGACCTGCCCTCACCCCATTAATTGTGGCATCACCATGATCATCCTATAATACCATCTTTTCCTGGTCTCCTTAGCATACATATTGAGTGTTAGGGACCCTGTAAACCTTCAGTGAGTTAAGGAATCAATTGCAGGGGCGCCTGGGTGGCTCAGCCGTTTAAGCGTCTGCCTTCGGCTCAGGTCGTGATCCCAGGGTCCTGGGATCGAGCCCCATGTCGGGCTCCCTGCTGAGCAGGGAGCCTGCTTCTCCCTCTCCCTCTGCCTGCCGCTTCCCCTGCTTGTGCTCTCTCTCTCTCTTTCTCTCTTTCATACAAATAAATAAAATCTTAAAAAAAAATCGATTGTGTACATTAACTCTTTGCACTGCTTCCCTCCCATTTTCTCGTTAACCCACACCACTCCAGCTCTGATCCCGCCACTTCACTGACACAGTTCTTATTGCCAAACCAATAGTTGGTCCTCAGGCCCAGGACCAGTTCTGAAGGCATATGACCTATATAGTCATTTAGGTCTCACACCTGGTTTAATGTCCTGCTATTGCTGTCTTAAAATTCTTTTTTTTCTTTTTTTGAGATTTTATTTATTTGACAGAGAGAGACACACAGCGAGAGAGGGAACACAAGCAGGGAGAGTGGGAGAGGGAGAAGCAGGGTTCCTGCCGAGCAGGAGCCCGATGCGGGGCTCGATCCCAGGACCCTGGGATCATGACCTCAGCTGAAGGCAGACACTTAACGACTGAGCCACCCAGGCGCCCCTCGCTGTCTTAAAATTCTTAACAGTTTTTCTACAAGGGCCTCCACATTTACATTTTATATTGGGCCCCACAAATTATGTAGCTGGTCCTTTTCAGGCCTAACATTACTAAATCTCTTTAAAGTGTTGGATACAGCTCGTCACCCTCTTGGAATACTTCTTGAGTTCCTGGACAGCAAAATCTGCTTGTCCCCTCCTATTTTATTTATGGCTCCTTCCTTTGCTCTTCCTTCTCTCAAGGTTAGGTATCTTCACCCTACTCTTCATCTAGTCTCACTTCCCGGGTGATCCTATCCAGTGTCCTTGCACTAGACTGCTGCTGTGGCTAACAGTACCAAAAACAATAGTAATAAGAGGTACCTTTGAGTGTTTTCTGTGTGCCAGCCATGAATTACAAGTATCATTTCTCTTAATACTTTAAACACCTCATTTGCAGATGGAGTGTCCCGGCTGAGTAACTTGCCCAGGGACACATAGCTGGTAAGTGATAAACTCAGGGAGTCTAATTCTATAGTTTGCTCTTTTAACCATTACAATGGACAGTTGAAATCTCTCCCTGAGCTCTAGGTGAGTATACCCCTCCCACTACTTGACATTTCCACTTGTATGTCTAATGGGCATCTCCAACTTACTGTGTCCTAAAAAAGAAGTCTCGATTCCCACACCACCAACTTCCTTTTCTTCTGTTTTTTCTGATTTTATTAGATGGCCCTAAGATTCATCTGGGTGTCCAGTCCAAAAGCCTGGCACCTTTGCTGCTGCTTTTTCTCTTCCTTACATTGAATCCTGTTGCAAGCTGCACAGGCTCTACCTTTAAATATATCTTTTGGGGCTGGGGGAGGGCTGAGGGAGAGGAGAGAGAGAATCTTAAGCAGGCTCCACACCCAGCACAGAGCCCAGTAAAGGGATCAGTCTCACGACCCTAAAGTTATGACCTGAGCCAAAATCACAAGTTGAACCCTTAACCGACTGAGCCACCCGGGTGCCCCTACCTTTAAATATATCTTAATTTTGACTCCTCCCACTTCCATGGCCTCCAGTTTAGTCTAAACCACCACCTTCTTCAATTCTGTCTCCGTGCCGCCTGTATATTCTGCACAGAGCACTCAGTGATATTTTAGATTTTTTTCTAAATGTTTTATTGAAATAGATACGTAACCAAATTGGACAACTTGATAAATTTTCACAATGTGACATGCCCATTTAACCAACACCCAGAACCAGTACCCCCAGCAGTCCCCCTTGTGCTCCCTTGCAGCCACTGTCCTCCCTTCTTGCCCCCCAATAATCTGTATACTGATTTCTAACTCCACTGATGGGTTTTACTACTCCTTGAACTTCGTATAAATGAAACTTCATTACCCAGGAGGTACACAGTATGAATACACGACAGTTTATCCATCTTTGATGGATAGTTGGGTTTCTAGTTTTGGTCCATTTTGGATCATATTGCCACAGACATTATTATTATGTGCCTTTTGCTAAACATACATAAGAGTTTCTGTCAGGAATATACCTAGGAGTGGAACTGCTGAGTCAAACGGTAAGTGTATATTCGGCTTCAGCAGATACATCAAAACAGTTTTCCAAAATGGTTATGACCCGCAGCATTATATGAGAGGTCCAGGTGTTCCACATCCTCATCCAGGTTTGGTATTATATATCTTTTTCATTGTAGACATTCGGACGAGTGTGTAGTGCTGTCTCATTCATTGCATTTCCATTTGCCGAGTGACCATTTCATACGTTTGTTGACCATTTGTATAGCTTCCTTTATGAAGTACCTATTTAGGCCTTTTACCTATTTTCTTGCCCTTTCTTACTGATTTGTAGGGTTCTTTACAGGTCCTGGGTTCAATGTGGGATGTATGTATTGTAAATATCTTCTTCCACTCTGTGGCTTGCCTTTTCACTCACTTGGTAGTCGTTTTCAATGAACACAGTTTCTTAATTTTGGTGTAGTACAAATTATTGCTTTTCCTTTAGTAACTTTAGTAATTTAATCATTTTCATGTCCTGTTTATTGCCTACTCATTGGTCATGAAGGTATTCTCCTATGTTCTAGTCTAAATGTGTTGTTTTACCTATTACATTTTTAGATCTATACATGGAATTATTTTTCTGTTTAGTATAAAATGTAAAAGTCAAGATACATTCTTCCCCCTTATGAATATCCAGGTGACCCAACATCATTTTTTTGTAAAGACCATCCTTTTCTTACTGTAAGAGTGGTAATTTTCTGAACTCAGATCATGAGACTCCCCCCCCTTGCTCAAAGTCCTTCAAAGGTTTCCCACTGCACTTAGCATGAAATAGACACATCTTACCATGGTTCTTTGCCTGGAATCTGCTTTCTTCTTGGCTTTCACCCCACTGTTCTCATTTTCTCCTCTCCACTGTGGACATGCTGGTCTCCTTGCTGTTCCTCAGTCTTTCAAATACATTATTGACTTGGGCGGTCATGCGTGCAGTTTGTTCTGCCCAGAGAGCATTCTTCCTCCACATGTCAGCCCGAATCAATCCTCACTGCACCAAGTCTATGTGCAAATGCCCTTTCCAGGGGCACCTGGGTGGCTCAGTCGGTTAAGCGTTGGACTCTTGGTTTCAGCTCATGTTGTGATCTCAGGGTCCATGCTCAGTGCGGAGTCTGCTTCAGATTTTTTCTCCCTTTCCCTCTGCCCTTCCCCACTCATGCGTACTCTCTCCCATATAAATAAATAAAATATTTTTAAAAAAGGCCCTTTCCTCAGGAAGGATCACTAGCCACCCACATAACACTAAGAATGAAGAATATATGAAAAATCCTCTGAACACGTATGATATTATTAATGAACTGTTTCACGGTGACGTCAGTGCCTACCAGGCGGCCTCTCCGTTCTGTTGTTGGGTTCATCAGATCTCACTATGTTTGGAAGTAGGACTGATCGTCATCTTTGTGACGGCCAGCAGCTCTTTTAAGCCAGTGTAACTGTTCTCTCTTCATTGTTTTTAGCTTTTGAATTTGAAGAAGTACTTTTGAAGACTTCCCTTTTAAGAACTATGAAAAAGTTTTGCTACAAAAACCTTCACTACTGTGTGCTTAAATGAATGTTAATTTCTGAGGTTTGGAATTTTGTGGATTTGTCCCCTATTTTTCTTTTCTTTCCTCCTTTCTTTCTTTTGATGTTATTTGCTGTACGTGCTGCACATCCAGATTGTGTGTCAGAAGGACATGGATTATTTTTATGCTTTCTTAGTTATGACTGTTATCAGAATGCCAGGCTGTCATTGCTTGCTCTCCTGAAATCAACTACTTCTAATTTCCAGTTAAATCATTTTCAGTTTTTTCTGTTGTCTTTCTAGCCATTGCAGTCATTTGGAATAAAAATTCAATTTCAGTGAAAAAATTGGGCTAAAGACCTAAATGTGAGACCTGAAATCATAAAACTGTTAAAAGAAAACATCGGCAGTAGTCTCTTTGACATCAACTTTAGCAACATTTTTCTAGAATCTGTCTCCTTAGGCAAGGAAAACAAAAGCAAAAATAAACTATTGGGACTACACCAAAATAAAAAGCTCTTGCACAGTGAAGGAAACCACCAACAAAACAAAAAGACAACCTAGTGAATGGGAGAAGATATTTGCAAATGATATATCTGATAAGGGATTAATATCCAAAATATAGAAAAAAACTTATGCAATTCAACACCCCAAAAACAAATAATCTGATTAAAAGATGGGAGGAGGAGCTGAATAGACATTTTTTCCAAAGAAAACATACAGATGGCCAACAGACATATGGAAAGATGCTCAACATCACTAATTACGAGGGAAATACAAATCAAAACCACAACGAGATATCCCCTTAAGCCTCTCAGAATGGCTAGAATCAGGAAGACAAGAAATAAGTGTTGGAGAGGATATGAAGAAGAACCTCATGCACTCTTGATGGGATCATAAATTTTGCAGCTATTATGAAAAACAGTGTGGAGATTCCTCAAAAAATTAGAAATATATGATCCAGTAATTCCATTACTAGGTATTTACCCAAAGAAAATAAAAATACTAATTTAAGATGATACATACACCCCTATGTGTACTGCAGCATTATTTACAATAGCTAAGATATGGAAACAACCCAAGTGTCCATTGATAGATGAGCAGATAAAGATGTGGTACGTACGTGTACGCGCACGCGCATGTGCACGCACGTGCGCGCGCGCGCGCACACACACACATACACACTGGAATATTACTAAGCCGTATAAAAAGAATGAAATCTTGCCATTTGTGACTACATGGATGGACCTCAAAGGTATTATGCTAAGTGAAATAAATCAGATAAAGACAAATATCATATGATTTCACTTACACATGGAATCTAAAAAACAAAACGAATGAACAAACAAACAAAAAAAGAAACAGACCGATAAATACAAAGAACATAGTGTGCTTGCCAGTGGGGGAGTGGGCACAGTAGATAAAGAGGAGTGGGAGGTACAAAAAATAGAATGAATAATTTGTAAAAGTCCTCTGAATGTGTATGATATTAATGAACTGTCTCCTCTATGATGTTGTGGTTCCTTGAGGCAAGGGATTGTGTCTTCTTTTTGTAGATCTTATTTGCAGCATAATACTTGAGAACTCGAATAGGATCCTGAGTGTAATGCATGTGATAATTCATTGTTTTCCCTATTTTGTCTACATTAGCTCCAGATAATTCAGACTTTAATATAAATATTTAATAATCTTATACATTGTGGTAGAACATCAGCTTTTTGTATTTTTTAAAAAGGGGGTAGTATACAGCATTATAGCCTGAAACTTTAAAATTCACTTTAGCTATTTTACATGGAAACAATGCATAGCCTAAGTCCAGGTGAATTTTATCTATGGCTAAAGAAATTAGAAGGTTTTCAGTGACTTTATATTCTCTTCTAACAATAATACTAATTGTATTTCAAGTTTATAAAGTTGCATTTTTTTCTAAGAATTCTGCAATCTAGACAGTGATTCTTATTGACCTGGTTCCTATTATTGGGGTAATTTGGGGGCTGTATGCATATATAAAATTTGATTTGGGGGCAAGAGTTAGATTGATCTTTCATTTGTTTATTTGTTCGTTCGTTGTCTGAGACATTTATGTCCACCATTGGTTGCATTTGTTTTTATTTCCTTAAAGCCTTAAGCTGTTGTTTGACATATACAATTCTTTTATTAATTGTAGAATGTCAGAGCAGGAAGAGACTTTCAAGATCACCTTATCCAGCAATAAAAGATATCACTGGGTCAGTTAACCGAACTGGAAAACTTGGTAGATTAAAGTACTGTCAATAATCAACTTCCTGAAGTTGATGGTACTATGGGCACATAAGAGAGTATCCTTATTCTTAGAAAAACACAATGAAGGGCGCCTGGGTGGCTCAGTTGGTTAAGCGACTGCCTTTGGCTCAGGTCATGATCCTGGAGTCCCGGGATCGAGTCCCTCATCGGGCTTCCAGCTCAGTGGGTAGTCTGCTTCTGCCTCTGACCCTCTACCCTCTCGTGCTCTCTCTCACTCTCTCTCTCTCAAATAAATAAATAAAATCTTAAAAAAAAAACACAATGAAGTATTTAGGAATAAAGGTGCTATGATGGTGTATTTACTTCCAAATGGTTCGGGGAAAGAAAAATGTGTGTGTGTGTGTGTGTGTGTGTGTGTGAGAGAGAGAGAGAGAGAGAGAGAATGAGAGAGCTCACTCGCTCACTTGCATATGGAGAGAAGGAGTGAGCACAAGTGAGCATAAGAGTCAATTACAAACCAAATGGGGCACAACATTAACATCAGGTAGATCTGGCAAAGGGGTATATAAATCTTCTTTATACTCTTCTTATGTTTCCTCTTAAGTGTGAAATTCTCTTCACTTAAACAGTTTTAAAAAATCATCTCATCCAGCCCTCAGGAAAAGCATTTGGTCTTTGTGACCCAGAGGTTAAGTAACTTTCCCAGTCACCCTGAGAGTTAGAGCCAAAACTTCTTCTAGTCCTGTGGACTGTGTTACGCTGTGCTGCCGCCTTCTAGTAAATTGTCATCGAGCTCCGGCCAGATGCAGGGGCCAGTAATCCTGACTTGGTGGTTGCATAGGACGCAGCCAAACTTGCACATTAATGATGGAGCTTTGGGTTGCTTTTTTAAAATATTTTTTCCATTACCTGGTCAGCCTTGCAACCTCCAACCCCTCTGTTACCTGGACCTCTTGATACTAGATAGGCTGCCCATTGTAATGAGACATGCGTACATTTGCATTTTAACACTCAGTGGTTCTTCTTCCCTTTCCTGATAGCTACTGCTTCTTGGGACACATTTCTCATGCTGTGGAATTGCAAGCCACAAGCCAGGGCTTTCAGATATGTGGGTCACAAGGATGTTGTCACCAGCCTGCGGTTTTCCCCACTTGGAAACTTGTTGGCATCTGCTTCACGGGACAGAACTGTTAGACTCTGGATTCCTGACAAGTAAGAGAAACAAAGAAATACCTGATATGCTCTGGATGTAGGAATGTGAAAGAAAATGAGCCTGGCTGTTCCTTCTGTACTTCTCGGGAATGCCTGAACTCCTGGTTGCCTGCACTGCCCTTAGTCTGAGTCACATGCAGGACGTGTTGCTCTTGTCATGAAGTTAGCAAACTATTTCCTACCCTTTTTTCCTCATCTTTAACTCATAATTATCTCTTCCATTTGAAACCTATTTCTAACCATGGAAATATGCTTAGGGTTTTTTTTTTTTTTTTTTTGGCAGGGGTATGGTTATCAATCCCTTTATAAATCTGTTGTGAACTTCAGATTGTCTCCCCAGAGAGATACACATTGACATGTATAACTGAAATTTTATCATTTATTAACCTACTATCACCCATCTGTGGATCTTTTGGGGGCCTTTGGATATCTATTAATCCCTGAGCCAGAACTATTCTTTGGTGCACATCATTCATTATTGGGCTCCGGACTTTTCTGGCTAAAGAAAGTTTCTGACAAATGTATAAATCATTGCATTCCTATCCTGTTGTAACAAATCTCTCTATAAGAGGCTTTTTAAATCCTAGCTGATAGCTTATCTATTTTAAGCAATTATTGAGCCATGATTTTTTTTAAAAGATTTTTTTTAATTTATTTGCTAGAGGGAGAGAGAGTGAGTACAAGCAGAGGGAGTGGCAGGCAGAGGGAAGCCATGATTTTTTAAAAAGCTTTTGAACTTTCTTTTTTTGAACTCTTAATTATGTGTTTTCAAACACACATGAAAACAGAATGAACAGCACAACGACCTCTCCCCCATTCTCCTCCGCCACTTCCAGCAGCTATCTTTATAGCAGTTATCAGTGGCTCCATCCATGCCCTTCCTCCTTTTTTTTTAAGCTAGAGTATTTTTAGAACAAATCCCACACATCATATCATTTCTCCCCACAAATACCTCAGAGAATAAGAATCTGAGCATTTGCCTTGGCTCTATTGTGGCAGGACTTGATTCGTGGTACGTGACTGAACAGTGTCAGGCACCCCCACGTGGACGTTCACAGGGCATTTTCCTGCCAGGAGGCACTTCTGTTTTCTGCCACCACCCAAGGGAAACTCCAGGCTGAGAAGTCTGAACATCACCCTGATGGTAGTGAAAACTACTGAAGAGAAGCGACATGTTCTCATGACACTCCGGGTGGCAACGTACAGGGGAGCTGCGAGGGAGGGAGACTGGTTTGGGGTCCAAAAGGGAAAGTGTTTTCTAAAATCCTTAACTTTGAGGATTTAGGGCTAGTGGTTCTAATGTCTTCAGCGCAACAAGCTTCCGTCTGCCCTTACAAATTCAAGGAACTCTCAGTGACTAAACTATATACAAGGGTAGAGACGCCAAAAGCACACTAATTTGTGTGTATTATTTAAATTAATTAAAATCATTAATTTGTATGGGCTAATCTAAGTGCCACAGTCAGGCTTGAGTAGATGTCTCTGGTTCCTCTTTCTAAATCATAGCATCGTGGGGCCAGGGCAATCATGGGTCATAGCAGTGGGATGGAGACTGATACATCAGTTATTGCTGCGTAACCATCCTCAAAATTTAACTTAGTATGTTAACTGTCCTTTCCCATAATTGTGTGGGTTATCTGGATGGTTCTTCTGCCCCATTTGATGTTGGCTGTTACTCAACTTCACTAAGCTGGCAAGTCCAGCACCTCAGTCACACCTGTGGCCTGGTGCTGGCTGTTGGCTGGGGCACCTGGTCCTCCATTTGCTCTCTCTGCACCCGGATAAGGACTTCCTTATCCTGGCAGCTGGGTTCTAGGACAGTAAAAATGAAAGCTGCTGGATCTTTGAAGGGCTAGGTCTGACACTTCTAGTGTCACTTCTGCCTCATTCTGTCGGTCAAAGTAAGTCACAACCAGCCCAGATTCAGGAGGAGAATCGGTAGATTCCCCCTCGTGTGGGGAGGAGTGGCATGTGCGTAGAGGGATGAGAGGGAGTAAGCGGCCCTACTCGCCAACACCACACCTGGTGACTGGCAGGCTAGGGGAGAATAGTAGGAACAAGCATGGAAGCAGTTCTGGCCTGGAGTTCATCACAGTGGGCAGTCAAGAGAATGTGGGCACAAAGGGGATGTAAATATGTGTAGGCAGAGAGCCAATGTCAAGGCAAGATGAGGAGCTACAAAGCAATTAAGCCACAGCACAGCAAGCCCAAGGCACTCCTATTGTGGTTTCTTACGTCTTCCTGTTGAGACCGGGTCCAGGGGTCACACCAGAGTATAGCCAAGAGGTGGGCCCTTTAGAAAGAAGTCCAGCCGGATAGCCTGCTGGAGTGTGGAGTGTAGAACTAAAGAGCAGGGCAGATTCCGATGATTCGGACTGTCTCCTGGCTTCCTGGTCATAGCAGATGCCAGTCTTGTCTTTGTTTTCTCTAGGCTGTATTCTTGAATTCAGGCCAAACTATACTCCTAACTGCCGCTCATGGGAACTTTCCCTTGAAACTTCACTGAACTAGACCCTGAATGTTCCTTCCTATTTAAAAAAAAAAAAAAATCAATTTTAGGTTTTGCCTGGTATAATATCATGTATCATGTGATGGAAATTTTTGACAAAGTCACTTTTACCTTCTACAGACCACTGGAGGGATAAGCCGGGATGGATCTAAGAACCTTAAGTAGTGACTCTTCCCAGTGGAATTCAACAAAATGTATTGAGCTATTTTTATATACCTGATATTGTGCTAGATGCTGGTCTTATAGGGATGAATAAATCATCATTCCTGTCCTAAAAAAAACAAAAAAACTCATGGCTTAGTAGAAGAGAAACAGGTCTATTTTTTTTAAGTACTGTATAATGTAATAAGCAAAATAGATGTTGCAGATAGGGAGCAATTAAGCCTGCTTGGGTTGGTCAAGGGGGGTTGGGGTTGAGGAAGTAATCTAGCAAAGACAGAGGTGTGTTTGAAGCTTGGGGACTGTTCTGAGTCCAAAGTTCAGTGTAACGGCAGGATGCCTTGCTGAAGAACTTGGGCATTGTACCTTTTCTTGGAGGGCAGCCAGTGACACATTTATGCTGAGATTTATATGCTTAGAATGACACTTCTATGGAGGTAGCAAGCACAGTATGTAGGTGACTGGAGGGGGATAAAAGATTAGAGCAGGAAGACCAGTTAAGACGCTTTTGCGATAATCTCAGTGAAGGATACGGAGGGTGTATCTACCTTAATGTAAGCATAGCTGGGGTAGAAAGAACAGGTGTTGAAAGGGTATTTGGGAAGTGATAGCAATATCACTATCACTGAATCTGTTTTTTGACCTACTGAATGTGGGAAGAGAAGGGGAACAGTTGAGTATCACTTCTCACTGCAAATTCTGTTGCCCGATGTTTTTCAAACAGTTATATATAAATACGACTTTCTGAATGGAAAGACACTTTCTGAAGTGTCTTGGGAACTTTGGAATGCTGACACAAAGTAGTACTTTCCAAATGCTACCTTTGAACTCCAGTGCTCTCTGCTAGCCCGCCTGTAACTATTTTAACTTTTTTTTTCCTGGTGCTTCTTAAATGCCACACATTATTTTCTCCATCTTTTCTTTTCCTGTTCTATTTTTCTCACCCAAGTCAAGAAAAAGAAGCAGCATCTGAAATTTCAAAGTGTTGAGAACTGGAGTATGTTATTACCATGTGTCCTTTGTTTTGCTTATGAGTATAAGATTGGGCCTGGCCTAAGCAAGGCCTTAGATATACCCCGGGGGTCTGAGTTCTCATTGCTGGTGGGTGAAAACACAAGTGGAAACAGGAGCGTCAGCTCACCCAGAGCTATGTTCTGTAGAGGGGAAAAAGGCATAAGGGCATCTCTTCCCTCCCAACCCAGACTGCTGGTCCACACAAGTTCCACACCGCCCCAGTCTGAAAACACTTCCTTGGAGCTCTTCATTTCATCTGTCTCAGCTTTTCTAGGTTGCAGGTTCTTTAAACTATTTATTGCTCTTTCTAGAGGAACAACAGGAACTTAAAATTCATGGTCAAGATTTGTTCAAAATATTCTCTAGCTTCCAATTAAAACAAAAATAGCAAGTGCATTTCTGGGTGGGACCACCGGGATCTTTCCTGTTAAGTATCAGTTGTGACTTTAATTAATAAAACCAGCTTTAAAGAGTGTTGATGAAGAAACTTTTCATACTTTTGTTAATTTTTTGTAGGTGTTAAACTGTTTTACATGTTTCAAAGTCTGTATGCTGATTACATATTGATTATAGTGAAATCCCGTGTTATAAATGTTAAACTGTTTATTTACAGGAGAGGGAAATCCTCTGAATTTAAAGCTCATACAGCCCCAGTTCGAAGTGTAGACTTTTCAGCTGATGGCCAGTTTCTAGCTACAGCCTCTGAAGACAAATCCATCAAAGTATGGAACATGTATCGCCAGCGTTTCTTATATTCCTTGTACCGACATACACACTGGGTACGCTGTGCCAAGTAAGTGTGAAGTTTTGTTGTAAGAGTTCCACATTTTTTCCCCGCTGTAGTCCATGTTTACCACCCCTGCCCAAGCCCCAGAAAAGGGGATGAGGACAAACTCATTCATTCGTTCATTCAGCAAATATTTATTGTGTGCCTGCTATGTGCTGGGAAGAATAGGAAACAAAACCGTCAGAACCCCTCGCTGTCAGAAGCTTACATTCTAGAAAGGGGAGAGAGACAATAAACAGGAAAATGGATTGGGGGATGGCTACAGTTTTAAACAGAGACCGCCTCACAGAGAGGGTGGCCTTTGGAGCTGAGACCTAACGGGGGCGGGGAGGGGCAAGGCTTGAATATATTTGAGAAAGGAATGTCCTGGATAGTGGAAACCAGTACAGAAGCCCTGGGTTGCGAGCCTGGGGGCTGTCAAGGACCAGCAAGAGGGCTGGTGTGGAGCAGAGTGTGGGGAAGGAACAGGAGAGGCGCCGAGGGAAGTTGCAGCTGGGTCGGGGACAGCTGACATACACGCTGAGTGGGGTGAGGTGCCGCTGGAGTGTGTTCATCTCTCTGACCAACGTTTTAGTGGGATTGCTCGAACTGCTGTGTGGAGAATAGAATGTCAAGGTCAGAGCAGAGGCAGGGGGTGTTAGGAGGTTGTGTGTAGTAGTTCACATCCCAGCTTGGACCAGGGTGGTGGCAGTGGAGATTTCGAGAAGTGGTTGGATTCTAGACGTAATTTGAAGGTACAGCCAACACTACTTGCTGTCGTGTTGGCTGTGACAAAGAGAGGAACTGAGAATGACTTCACAGTCTGGCAGTGGTCTTTTGGGATGAGTGCTATTGTAGGCGTCCCTTTCTGTTCTTAAGACACACTGCTAAAGTACTTAAAATATTTCCCCAACTGCCCTGGGAGGATAGGGCTCTTGTTTTATTTTCCCAGTTTTGCAGGTAAGGGAACTGAGTTTCAGAGTTAAAGTTAGAACTCATCTAGTTGAAAGTGATAGAAACCCAAAGAAATTCTCTTTCTCCTCTCAAGGTGGTTAATTGGCCGATGTTTGGTGACCCTGGAGCAGAGAAGGGGGCCGCTAAGACTAGGGCCTCCGGTACCCGCGGTGTCTCTCCGGGCCTCCCTCCACACCGCCTCTGTTCTCTCAAACACCCTGCTGCTGAGGTCATTGCCAGCTGTGGGCAGAAGGCCTCACAGCTCTGTGACTGGACAGGAAGAGTGTCTCCTAACGCCAGTTAGAAAAATGCCGGGGGCAGCTCTCAGCCTGGCTCCGATGCCCACCCCTTCTCCGGGCAGCGAGACCCTGTGGTTGTGTCAGGTCAGCCAGGCCCCTGACTGAGACCAGTTCCTCGGGCCAGCTGGGGGTGAGAGTACATAGCAACCATGCGTTCTGGTGGTGGGGAGGGGGATGCTAGTCCCCTTTCAGAAGAAGGGAACTAGCATCGTCATGGGCACTAGGGGAAGATTTGTGAAGCCTGCAGCCAGCCTACTCTGTGCACGCTGGACGAAACAACATGCCGGGCATCCCCAGCCAGGATGTGGTGGGGGGGAGGGGGAGCCCAGCTCTGTCTGTCTCGCCTTACAGCCCACATGCCTGTTCTCCTGCTCTCAGTGGGACACTATTGTTCAGGTGTTGATTATAATCTAGGGTAATGAGTCTAAGGAAAATAAAAAAGATAGACAGAAGGTCGTACTTTTAGTTAATTTTTTTTGTCTTCTAAAGTTCTCAGCTACTTTTGGCTTTGGCCATCTCAGTCTTATTTAATATGCCACAGAGCTGTGTGGTCAAGAATATGGGCCTGGGACCTAAATATATAGATTAAAATTCCAGCCCCACCACTTACTGGCTGTGTGACCTTTTGGAAAGTTAGCTAACTTCTCAGTGCCTCCGTTTTCTTACCTGTAAAATTAGGATAATAATAACCTGCCACACAGGTTGTCATGGTATTGAAATGAGTAAATATACGTGGAACATGTAGAATCATGCCTCCCGCGGAGTAATCACTAGATAAGTCTTAGCTATCCTTCTTCTCATCATCCTTGGACATCACCATCTTGTTTCATTTTAAAGACATTGTGGAACTTGAGTTGATAGTTTTTTCCCACCTGAGGAGGTGACACGTGTGGTGGCCCCAAGAGGCTGGTCAAATCATTTGTATTTATTTATTAAATGATGTTGTGAACAGAGATCTGTTGTCCAGCATATCAGACCCGGAGAACAGACGGAGGCACGGAAGATTAGGCCGGACACTGGGAGTCATTATTCAGCTCCCACTAGGACTGACTCTGGATAAGTTTGGCAAAGACACTGGTTTCTGTTACCTTCATCAGGGAGCTCATCAGAAGCAAAAACATTGAATGATAGCCGTTATTTATCTAGTGTGTCCTGCATGTCTCTGTTTCCTTCCTAAAATCATTTAAGGTGGTTTATAATAACTGTAACACAATTGGAGGGAATGAAGTGACAATTCTATCTAGAACCATGTAACCTTGGTTAGTACAAATCTGGCAGGTTTAACCTGAGTTTCCTGCAGCCAGGGAATTAATGGTATGATAGTGGCTGATGTATTTTCATGTTCTAACAACAAAAAGGAATCCTATCAAGTTGTTCAGATAAGACAAAATTTTTCCTGTAGTAAATTCTAGGAGGTATTTTATTCCCTGCCCTTGTACTGAATCTATGTATAATATACATGCAAAAGAAAAGGTATTGCTAATGTAAGACAGAAGAACTTATGGAATGTTAAATGGTCGTCAGTAGTGTAAAGTTTTGGTCTTCAGAATATTCCTTTAACGAGCATAGCCCAGCTATGTACCACATATCCGTGCTGCGTGTTAGGTAGGCAGAGATGAAAACCACAGTCTGGGGGCGCCTGGGCGGCTCAGTTGGTTAAGCGACTGCCTTCGGCTCAGGTCATGATCCTGGAGTCCCAGGATCGAGTCCCGCATCGGGCTCCCTGCTTGGCAGGGAGTCTGCTTCTCCCTCTGCCCCTCCCCCCTTCTCATGTGCTCTCTCTCTCAAATAAATAAATAAAATCTTTAAAAGAAAAAAAAAAACCACAGTCTGAGCCTCAAGGAGCTCTTGTATTTTATAGTTCAATGGAAAAAAATGGATACAAAATAATTATAAACTAATGTGTCCTATGGGAAGATGATGCATAAGGCGATAAGGGAGTGTGCAGTGGGGCACTGAACTAGACCTGCAAGCCATTCACAGCGAGAATCAGCAGGAGTAGGCACTATGGCCTGGGAAACCGTTTTGTGCTCTGGGAATATGAATTATTCAGCTGTTGCCAGGCACAGGAAGTAAAGTGGGATGCGGGGTGGAGTGGGGTGGAGCGGCGGGGGTTGGAGGGGGAGAGGTGGGGAAGGCTCAGTGTCATGGATGTCATGAAAAGACTTAGGATTTCGTCCTCCAGGTGACATGGAGACACCGGAGGGCTTGGAATGGGGAAGAAGCATGATCATTCCTGAGCTCTCTACTAATTGGTCTTACATCCCACGGCATGACTGCTTTAGAGGGTTGGCGTTAGCTAGGCTGAGACTCCTATGCCTCCCTGTGCCACATCATTACCCTTGGGCAAGTTAGTCTACGGCTCTCAGCCTCAGTGGGAGGTGAGGGTAATGAGGCTTCTCAAATGGACTGTTGCAAGGATGAGAAAGACTGTGTTCAGAACTGAGTGATGCCAGAAGCCTGCCATTCCTCCGGCTGGGTAGCATCAGTTAGGGAGAAACTTAGGAATTGGGAACAAGCCCCTAAAAATGTTTTCCCTCACCAGCTAGAAAGGAGGAGTCGATGGTGGAACCCTGCTTTTCTGTCTGCCTCGCATCTGTTCTGTTTTCTGGTGACAGTGCCCAAGTTTTCCCTGAGGAACCAGCGCTCCCCCACAGTCCCTCTTTATGTTATGTATATGCTGGCATGGCCTGATCTCCAGTCCCAGCAGAGGGCATTGAGCTCAGGCTTGCCATCTGGAATAGGGCACCTCCTGCCTACAGGAGTTGGTGAGTCTTGTTAGAATGGCAGGCCTTTCCCTTGGGATTTCCGTGTTAGGCTTATTTCCTTTTTCTTCCTTCCTTCCTTCCTTCCTTCCTTCCTTCCTTCCTTCCTTCCTTCCTTCCTTCCTTCTTCCTTTCTTTCAAGTTTATTTTTTATTTTAGTAATCTCTACACCCCACGTAGGGCTTGAACTTATGACCCTGAGATCAAGAGTCACATACTGTTCTGACGGAGCCAGCCAAGAGCCCCTTAGGCTCATTTAAACCTGTGGCTGCTGAGGGACACCACGGGCAAAGAGCTGACCTGACAGTGATGCTGACTCAGGGGGCAACAGAGCTGTGAGCCAGAGAAAGAAAGAATTGCTATCTAATTACATGGTGTGGTTTCTGGATACAGTCATACCTGGTTTTATTAACGTGTGTTTGTGTGTGTACATGTATGTGTGTGTAAGAAATGGGCCTTAAGAATTCTCACTTTTTTTTTTAAAGGCACTTTCTGTAAGATGTGATTGTGGAGCAGTGTTTTGGAAAAGTGGGAGATAATTGCCGAATCCAGTGATAGGCACTCAAGACACCTAAGTGTTCCTCTCTACAGATTTGCCTTTATTCCCCACCCCTCCCCCCACCCCCCACTGCTCTCCTGCCTCCACAGAGACCTTGTGAAATGCAGATCTGGTCGTACTGCTCCTCAGGTTAAAAACTACCTGGCAAGTCTGCTCTGACTTCCTATTACAACCTTGTCTTTTGTCCCTGTCACAGTTATATAGTACTGTGTGCGATGTTCTGTTATGTTCTGTGCCTTTTCCGCATGCTGCCTGCCCTGTCCAGAATGCCCCCTGAATCCACCCTCCCTCACAGTCCTGCTCTGCATCTCTCCCTCCAGGAAATGTTTTTGACTCTCCCAGGCCCAGCTTATCATAAGTTCTCTATGCCACTGCATTGTCCTGTTTACGAGATCTGTCTGCTTCGGCCTCTCTTCCCTGTCAGACTTTGAATTACAAGTATTTTATTCA